CCACCAACCTGATCACAGCCCCCACAAACCTGATTGCATCCCCCCATTATACTGCCAACCTGATCACTCCCCCCCACATACCGCCAACCCGATCACCCCCCCCACATACCGCCAACCTGATCACCCCCCCCCCCACATACCACCAACCCGATCACGATACTACCAACCCCCCCCCCCCACATACCACCAACCTGATCACCCCCCCCCCCACATACCACCAACCTGATCACCCCCCCCACATACCACCAACCTGATCACCCCCCCCATACCACAAACCCGATACCCCCCCCACATACCACCACCCTGATGCCCCCCCACATACCACAAACCCGATCACCCCCCCACATTCTACCAACCTGATCACAGCCCCGCACAAACCTGATTGCATCCCCCCATTATACTGCCAACCTGATCACTCCCGCCCACATACCACCAACCCGATCACCCCCCCCACATACCACCAACCTGATCACCCCCCCCCACACATACCGCCAACCTGATCACCCCCCCCACATACCACCAACCCGATCACCCCCCCCACATACTACCAACCCGATCACCCCCCCCACATACCGCCAACCTGATCACCCCCCCCCACATACCACCAACCTGATCACCCCCCCCCCCCACATACCACCAACCTGATCACCCCCCCACATACCACAAACCCGATCACCCCCCCCCACATACCACCACTCTGATGCCCCCCCCACATACCACCAATCTGATCACCCCCCCCCACATACCACCAACCTGATCACAGACCCACATAAACCTGATTGCATCCCCCCATTATACTGCCAACCTGATCACTCCCGCCCACATACCACCAACCTGATCACCCCCCCCACATACCACCAACCCGATCACCCCCCCCAACATACCACCAACCCGATCACCCCCCCCACATACCACCAACCCGATTACCCCCCCCCACATACCACCAACCTGATCACCCCCCCCCCCCACATACCACCAACCTGATCACCCCCCCCCCACATACCACCCATCTGATCACACCCCCGCACAAACCTGATTGCATCCCCCCATTATACTGCCAACCTGATCACCCCAGCCCACATACCGCCAACCTGATTGCACCCCAACATACCACCAACCTGATCACCCCCCCACATACCACCAGCCTGATCACCCCCGCCCCCACATACCACCAACCTGATCACACACCCCCCACATCCCTGATCGCATCCCCCCATTATACTGCCAAAACTGATCAACCCCGCCCACATTCCGCCAACCTGATTGCACCCCGACATACCGCCAACCTAATTGCACCCCCACAAATACCGCCAACCTGATTGCACCCCCACATACCGCCAACCTGATCACACACACCCAAGTTATACCAACCTGATCACCCCCCTACACACACACACATACCACCAACCTGACCCCCCCACACGCACACCGCCAACCTGATCACATCCCCCCCCCCATACCGACAACCCGACCACAATCCCCTCTCTAATCACACCCTCAGATCCCTCCATTCTCATCACCCCCCAAATACTCCCCTCTCCCATCATCACACACACGCCTTAGGTGTACCAGTCCCCCCAGGTCTGACCAGTCCTGCGGCTCCTCTATATGGAGCGAGGATGATCAGCCGTGTATCAGGCAGTCAGAAGAAGATCTCTACCAGGATTACAGGTGGCAGCTGCAGCATAGAGCGGGGAACCTCCTCCTCCACGCCGCCATTCCGGAGCTTACCTGACAGCGGGACCCTTCCCTGCATGCACCAGGGATCAGCCCACCGCTCCATCCTCCTCGGATCCATTCTGATAGTGGGGTCAGCTCATCGTCCCGCTGTGCCTCGGTGGGATCTACTGCTCTCCCAGCAGCTTACTAAACAGCAGACAAACTAAACCGTCCACGCTGGGTCCTCTCTCCTACCGGGTGGAAGTTTTAGTTTGCCTGTCGAGGGGACAAGGATTTTAAAAATCCGAATCCCTAGCAAGCGGCTGGGGCTCCGGAATTTACCACAGTTCTGCCAGTGGGCAGCGCCGTCCCCCCCCAAAAAATGCTGCCCTAGACAAACGCCTTGTTTGCCTCGCGGTAAACACACCCCCCTGATCATCGCTTCTCACTCATACACCGCCCTATCAGAACCAACCAGCAGGTAATCTTGTTGACGGTGCATTTGGGAGGGGCGCCTTCAGGAGGCGTTTGGGCGGCTTTTATCATCCACTGGTCTCAGTTTTTTCTTTATTAATTTTTGTTTCATCATTTTTGCCTGAGATATATGAGAAAATCCGTGGCTGTGTTCACAAAACAATTTGTTTTTAATATTTCCTGCCGGTTTCACCTCACATGGAATCATTTGTCATGCCTTCTTGGGCAATTCTGAAGAAGAGATTTTTGTTGATCTCAAAACGCGTCAACTGTGAACCGTGCATGATCCATGATTAGCATTGCAACACCATCTCTGATGACACCGCCGCAATATGGATTGTAGATTTATATTTATTTGTGAAGAAGGGACATTCTTCCCCACTGACCCCCAATGTAAGGGACATTCTTCCCACTGACCCCCAATGTAAGGGACATTCTTCCCACTGACCCCCAATGTAAGGGACATTCTTCCCACTGACCCCCAATGTAAGGGACATTCTTCCCACTGACCCCCAATGTAAGGGACATTCTTCCCACTGACCCCCAATGTATTCTTCCCAGTGACCCCCAATGTAAGGGACATTCTTCCCACTGACCCCCCAATGTAAGAGACATTCTTCCCACTGACCCCCCCCCCCAATGATCCCCAATGTAAGGTGCATTCTTCCCACTGATCCCCAATGTAAGGGACATTCTTCCCACTGACCCCCAATGTATTCTTCCCAGTGACCCCCAATGTAAGGGACATTCTTCCCACTGACCCCCCAATGTAAGAGACATTCTTCCCACTGACCCCCCCCCCCCAATGTAAGGGACATTCTTCCCACTGACCCCCAATGTAAGGGACATTCTTCTCACTGACCCCCAATGTAAGGGACATTCTTCCCATTGACCACCAATGTAAGGGACATTCTTCTCACTGACCACCAATGTAAGGGACATTCTTCCCACTGACCCCCAATGTAAGGGACATTTTTCCCACTGACCCCCAATGTAAGGGACATTCTTCCCACTGACCCCCAATGTAAGGGACATTCTTCCCACTGACCCCCAATGTGAGGGACATTCTTCTCACTGACCCTCCAATGTCAGGGACATTCTTCCCACTGACCCCCAATGTAAGGAACATTCTTTCCACTGACCCCCAATGTAAGGGACATTCTTCCCACTGACCCGCAATGTAAGGGACATTCTTCCCACTGACCCGCAATGTAAGGGACATTCTTCCCACTGACCCCCAATGTAAGGGACATTCTTCCCACTGACCACCAATGTAAGGGACATTCTTCCCACTGACCCCCAATGTAAGGGACATTCTTCCCACTGACCCCCAATGTAAGGTGCATTCTTCCCACTGATCCCCAATGTAAGGTGCATTCTTCCCACTGATCCCCAATGTAAGGGACATTCTTCCCACTGACCCCCAATGTAAGGGACATTCTTCTCACTGACCCCCAATGTAAGGGACATTCTTCCCATTGACCACCAATGTAAGGGACATTCTTCTCACTGACCACCAATGTAAGGGACATTCTTCTCACTGACCCCCAATGTAAGGGACATTCTTCTCACAGACCCTCCAATGTCAGGGACATTTTTCCCACCGACCCCCAATGTAAGGGACATTCTTCCCACTGACCCCCAATGTAAGGAACATTCTTTCCACTGACCCCCAATGTAAGGGACATTCTTCCCACTGACCACCAATGTAAGAGACATTCTGCCCACTGACCCCCAATGTAAGGGACATTCCTCCCACTGACCCCCAATGTAAGGGACATTCTTCCCACTGACCACCAATGTAAGGGACATTCCTCCCACTGACCCCCAATGTAAGGGACATTCCTCCCACTGACCCCCAATGTAAGGGACATTCTTCCCATCGACCCCCAATGTAAGGGACATTCTTCCCATCGACCCCCAATGTAAAGGACATTCTTCCCACCGACCCCCAATGTAAGGAACATTCTTCCCACGACCCGCAATGTAAGGGACATTCTTCCCACCGACCCGCAATGTAAGGGACATTCTTCCCACTGACCCGCAATGTAAGGGACATTCTTCCCACTGACCTGCAATGTAAGGGACATTCTTCCCACTGACCCGCAATGTAAGGGACATTCTCCCCACTGACCCCCAATGTAAGGGATATTCTTCCCACTGACCACCAATGTAAGGGACATTCTTCCCACTGACCCCCAATGTAAGGGACATTCTTCCCACTGACCCCCAATGTAAGGGACATTCTTCCCACCGACCCCCAATGTAAGGGACATTCTTCCCACTGACCACCAATGTAAAGGACATTCTTCCCACTGACCCCCAATGTAAAGGACATTCTTCCCACTGACCCCAAATGTAAAGGACATTCTTCCCACTGACCACCAATGTAAGGGACATTCTTCCCACTGACCCCAAATGTAAAGGACATTCTTCCCACTGACCCCCAATGTAAAGGACATTCTTCCCACTGACCCCAAATGTAAAGGACATTCTTCCCACTGACCCCCAATGTAAAGGACATTCTTCCCACTGATCCCCAATGTAAGGTGCATTCTTCCCACTGATCCCCAATGTAAGGGACATTCTTCCCACTGACCCCTAATGTATTCTTCCCAGTGACCCCCAATGTAAGGGACATTCTTCCCACTGACCCCCCAATGTAAGAGACATTCTTCCCACTGACCCCCCCCAATGTAAGGGACATTCTTCCCACTGACCCCCAATGTAAGGGACATTCTTCTCACTGACCCCCAATGTAAGGGACATTCTTCCCACTGACCCCCCAATGTAAGGAGTATTCTTCCCATTGACCACCAATGTAAGGGACATTCTTCTCACTGACCCCCAATGTAAGGAACATTCTTCCCACTGACCCCCCAATGTAAGGAGTATTCTTCCCATTGACCACCAATGTAAGGGACATTCTTCTCACTGACCACCAATGTAAGGGACATTCTTCCCACTGACCCCCAATGTAAGGGACATTCTTCCCTCTGGCCCCCAATGTAAGGGACATTCTTCCCACTGACCCCCAATGTAAGGGACATCCTTCCCACTGACCTCCAATGTAAGGGACATTCTTCCCACTGACCTCCAATGTAAGGGACATTTTTCTATTGACCCCCAATGTAAGGGACATCCTTCCCACTGACCCCCAATGTAAGGAACATTCTTCCCACTGACCCCCAATGTAAGGGACATTCTTCCCACTGACCCCCAATGTAAGGGACATTCTTCCCACTGACCACCAATGTAAGGGACATTCTTCCCACTGACCCCCCAATGTAAGGGACATTCTTCCCACTGACCCCCAATGTAAGGGACATTCTTCCCACTGACCACCAATGTAAGGGACATTCTTCCCACTGACCCCCAATGTAAGGGACATTCTTCCCACTGATCCCCAATGTAAGGGACATTTTTCTATTGACCCTTTGTGAAATAATCTTAGCAGGGGTTCTGTGACAACGGCTGCAACAGACCAATGCCTGTAGACACTACTAGAGTGGAGCGGGGGAGGGGTAATGTTTAAAATCTATTATATCACTGCTCCTTGCGGTTTGCATAGGACACAATTGTACATGAACAGAACCTATTCTACTTGCCACAGCTATCAAAGTTCTACGTTTCCCTGCACAGCGCAGCACAGCACAGCGCAGCGCAGCACCCCACGTATGTTTCTGTACACACTTCCTTCGTGCCTTTGTTGGCCAGCTCCTCCACCCTTGCTCACTCTTCTCACATTCATCTTGTTGGTATGACATCCATCCACTAAATCCTCAGATACAGAAAAGGGAAAGACAACAGGGAGAACAAACCCTAACACTGCCTGAGCCGCTGTGGTCCAACATTCCCCCAGAATTTGGTGAATTCATCCCCCACAATGTCCTCAGGAGGAAAAGGTAAAATGATGAACGTCGCCTCCTTCATCAAAGAACGCTTCAACATCGTTGAGAACTCCATTCTTCTGATGGTCCTTCTCGGATTAGAGAAGCTGATGGACCTGGAATTTAGGTGTCCCGCTGACAGACCCCCCCTGGCGATCGTCTACAGCTTGGTGTTCCTCGTCGTACCGGCTGTAATTGTTGGAGCTATGGCGTGCTATCTAAGACAAGGAGGGATGTGCTGCAGAAGAGGGAGCAAAGCTGAAATCAAAACGGGCGCTGAGGAGGGCGACAGGATCGTTGAATCAGAAACGTGTTTCCAAAATCTAGAAGTGGTGGAAGTGGAGACCGAAACCGAGAACGCAACGTGTAGACGCTACTGCGCAAATATGCCGAGTTGTGCCTTTGAAATGAAGGTTGTCGTGTCTTGGATACTGATTGTGTTCACAGATGGACGATACGGGGAATGTTTGGTGAAGTCCGTGGATGAGCTGATAGAATTAAAAAATACAAATATCTGTGATAGACCTCCGCTGAGCTGGATAGAAATACGAAATAAGTACCTGATACAAATGTCCCAGGTAAGTACATTTTTCACCTATGAGATCACTGAACCAGTCACATCAGTCTCTGCACCAGAGGAGCTTACACTCTAATGTCCCCTCCCCCACAGTCCCAACGGTCTTTGTACCAGAGGAGCTTACATTCAAATGTCCCCTCCCCCACAGCCCCATCAGTCTCTGCACCAGAGGAGCTTACACTCTAATGTCCCCTCCCCCACGGTCACATCAGTCTCTGTACCAGAGGAGCTTACGCTCTAATGTCCCCCCCCCCACAGTCCCATCAGTCTCTGTACAGAGGAGCTTACGCTCTAATATCCCCTCCCCCACAGTCCCATCAGTCTCTGTGCCAGAGGAGCTTACGCTCTAATGTCCCCTCCCCCACAGTCACATCAGTCTCTGTGCCAGAGGAGCTTTCAGTCTCTGTGCCAGAGATAGCTTACACTCTAATGTCCCCTCCCCCATCCCCTTCAGGTCACATCAGTCTCTGTTACGCTCTAATGTCCCCTCCCCCACAGTCCCATCAGTCTCTGTCCTTACGCTCTAATATCCCCTCCCCCACAGTCCCATCTGTGCCAGAGGAGCTTACACTCTAATGTCCCCCTCCCCCACAGTCCCATCAGTCTCTGTGCCAGAGGAGCTTACGCTCTAATGTCCCCTCCCCCACAGTCCATCAGTCTCTGTGCCAGAGGAGCTTGCGCTCTAATGTCCCTCCCCACAGTCACATCAGTCTCTGCGCCAGAGGAGCTTGCACTCTAATGTCCCCTCCCCCCACAGTCACATCAGTCTCTGCGCCAAGAGCTTGCGCTTCTAATGTCCCCCATCCCCCCACAGTCACATCAGTCTCTGCGCCAGAGGAGCTTGCACTCTAAATGTCCCCTCCCCCACAGTCACATCAGTCTCTGCGCAAGAGGAGCTTGCACTCTAATGTCCCTCCCCCACAGTCACATCAGTCTCTGCGCCAGAGGAGCTTGCACTCTAATGTCCCCTCCCCCCAACAGTCACATCAGTCTCTCTGCGCCAGAAGGAGCTTGCACTCTAATGTCCCCTCCCCCCGACAGTCACATCAGTCTCTGTGCCACCAGAGGAGCTTGCACTCTAATGTCCCTCCCCCACGGTCACATCAGTCTCTGCGCCAGAGGAGCTTACGCCCTAATGTCCCCTCACCCCCACAGTCACATCAGTCTCTGCGCCAGAGGAGGATTACACTCTAATGTCCCCTCCCCCACAGTCACATCAGTCTCTGCGCCAGAGGAGCGTACACTCTAATGTCCCCTCCCCCACACAGTTCACATCAGTCTCTGTACCAGAGGAGCTTACACTCTAATGTCCCCTCCCCCACAGTCACATCAGTCTCTGTGCCAGAGGAGCTTACACTCTAATGTCCCTCCCCCACAGTCACATCAGTCTCTGTGCCAGAGGAGCTTACACTCTAATGTCCCCTCCCCCACAGTCACATCAGTCTCTGTACCAGAGGAGCTGACACTCTAATGTCCCCTCCCCCACAGTCCCATCAGTCTCTGTACCAGAGGAGCTGACACTCTAATGTCCCTCCCCGACAGTCCCATCAGTCTCTGTACCAGAGGAGCTTACACTCTAATGTCCCCTCCCCCACAGTCCCATCAGTCTCTGTAACAGGGGGAGCTGACGCTCTAATGTTCCCTCCCCCGCAGTCACATCAGTCTCTGTACCAGAGGAGCTTACACTCTAATGTCCCCTCCCCACAGTCACATCAGTCTCTGTACAGAGGAGCTTACACTCTAATGTCCCCTCCCCCACAGTCACACAAACTATATTTATTATACATGTATATAGCTCTGACATAGACCGCAGTGCCGGACGCATGGCTTAGGATTGCTTGTCTGCTAGACACACATACACACACAGATCCTGTCTGGCAGACTTGCTGGCACTGATCTGAATGCAATGTCATGCAGGTCACAGCAAACGTTCAGACTGAGCATAGACTCTGGTCCTTGCTGGCCTCCCCAAATGGCCATAGGTTTTATGGGCCGGCTGGTTCTGATGGGCGACACCCAATCACAGCATCTTTCTTGTAAATGGTATCTTCCTGAAACTCTCGGGACTAAAGAAGTGTGTTACGTCCTACATACACACAGTATACAGTCATGGCCGAAATTGTTGGCACCCTTGATATTTCTCCAGGAAATCATGTATTTCTCACGAAAACGTATTGCATTAACACATGTTTTGCTATACACATGTTTATTCCCTTTGTGGTATTGGGACAAAACAAAAAAAGGAGGAAAGAAAGCAAATTCGACATAATGTCACACAAACCTCCAAAAAATGGGCTGGACAAAAGTATTGGCACCCTTTCACAACTGCGGATTAAATAAGAATGTTACAAGCATGTGATGCTCCTGTAAACTCACCTGGGGCACAAGTAACAGGTGTGGGCAATATAGAAATCACACCTGAAAGCAGATAAAAAGGCCAGAGACGTTCACTTAACCTTTGCATTGTGTGTCTGTCTGTGCCTCACACTAAGCAATGGACAACAGAAAGAGGAGACGGAGAACTGTCTGAGGACCTGAGAACCAAAATTGTGGCAAAGAATATCAACAATCTCAAGGTTACAAGTCCTATCTCCAGAGAACTAGATTTGCCTTTGTCCACAGTGCGCAACATTATCAAGATGTTTGCAACCATGGCATGTAGCTATCTCCACCTGGTCGTGGACGGATGAGGAAAATTGATTGAAAGATTGCAAACGCAGAATAGTCCGGATGGTGGATAAGCCAGCCCCAAACATGTTCCAAAGAACATTCAAGCTGTCCCCCAGGCTCAGGGAGCATCAGTGTCAGCGCGAACTTCCGTCGACATTTAAATGAAATGAAACGCTATGGCAGGAGACGCCAGGAGGACCCCACTGCTGACACAGGAGACATAAAAAAGCAGACTACAGTTTGCCAAAATGTACCTTGAGTAAGCCAAAAGCCTTCTGGGAAACGTCTTGTGGACAGATGAGACCAAGATAGAGCTTTTCGGTAAAAGCACATTCATTCTAACTGTTTTACGAAAACGGAATGAGGCCTACAAAGAACAAAACACAGTACCACGGGTAAAAAATATGGTGGAGGTTCAATGATGTTTTGGGGTTTTGTTTTGCTGCCTCTGGCACTGGGTGCCTTGACTGTGTGCAAGGCATCATGAAATCTGAGGATTACCAAAGGATTTTGGGTCGCACTGTAGGGCCCCGTGTCAGAAAGCTGGGTTTGCGTCCAAGATCCTGGGTCTTTCCAGCAGGACAATGACCCCAAACATACGTCAAAAAAGCACTCAGAAATGGATGGCAAAGAAGCGCTGGAGAGTTCTGAAACGAGTGGCCAGCAATGAGCACAGATCTAAATCCCATTGAACACCTGTGGAGAGATCTTAAAATTGCTGTTGGGAAAAGGTGTTTCTTGTTGTCCTTCCAATAAGAGAGACCTGAGCTGTTTGCAAAGGAAGAGTGGTCCAAAATTCCGGGTGAGAGGTGTCAGAAGCTTATTGATGGTTATAGGAAGCGACTGATTTCAGTTATGTTTTTCCAAAGGGTGTGCAACCAAATATTAAGTTAAGGGTGCCAATACTTTTGTCCAGCCCATTTTTGGGGTTTTGTGTGACATTATGTCATATTTGCTTTTCTGCCTCTGTTTTATATTTGTTCCAATACATACAAAGGGAATAAACATGTGTGTATAGCAAAACATGTGTTAATGCAATACCTTTTTTGTGTGAAATACTTTGATTTTCAGGAAAAATATCAAGGGTGCCAAACAATTTTCGGCCATGACTGTTATATATATATACAGGGGGGGGCAGAAACCCACCCATCACAGTAACCTCGCCACCCCCATTCCCACCCTCCAGTCCCGCCATTCCTGGAAAAAGAGAAATAATGGGAGTGGTCAGGGCTTACGGTCCCTGCCCCTGATCCACAGCCAACCTTCTCTCTCCATCCACAGACCACCCTCTCCCCCCCATTTCACAACTCACCCGCTCTCCCCCACTATTCCTCCCACTGACACCAATGATGGGGCACTATTCCTCCCACTGACACCAATGATGGGGGCACTATTCCTCCCACTGACACAATGATGGGGCACTATTCCTCCCACTGACACCAATGATGGGGCACTATTCCTCCCACTGACACCAATGATGGGGCACTATTCCTCCCACTGACACCAATGATGGGGCACTATTCCCCCACTGATACCAATGATGGGGCACTATTCCTCCCACTGACACCAATGATGGGCACTATTCCTCCCACTGACACCAATGATGGGGGCGGCACTATTTCCTCCCACTGACACCAATGATGGGGCACTATTCCCCCACTGACACCAATGATGGGGCACTATTCCTCCCACTGACACCAATGATGGGGCACTATTCCTCCCACTGAGCCAATGATGGGGCACTATTCCTCCCACTGACACAATGATGGGGCACTATTCCTCCCACTGAGCCAATGATGGGGCACTATTCCTCCCACTGACACCAATGATGGGGCACTATTCCCTCCACTGACACCAATGATGGGGCACTATTCCTCCCACTGACACCGAATGATGGGGCACTATTCCTCCACGGACACCGATGACGGGGCACTATTCCTCCCACTGACACCAATGATGGGGCAACTATACCTCTCACTGACACCAATGATGGGGCACTATTCCTCCACTGACACCAATGATGGGGCACTATTTCCTCCCACTGAGCCAATGATGGGGCACTATTCCTCCCACTGACACCAATGATGGGGCACTATTCCGTCCCACTGAGCCAATGATGGGGCACTATTCCTCCCACTGACACCAATGATGGGGCACTATTCCCTCCACTGACACCGATGATGGGGCACTATTCCTCCCTCTGACACCAATGATGGGGCACTATTCCCTCCACTGACACCAATGATGGGGCACTATACCTCTCACTAACACCAATGATGGGGCACTATTTCTCCCACTGACACCAATGACGGGGCACTATTCCTCCCACTGACACCAATGATGGGGTGCTATTCCTCCCACTGATACCAATGATGGTGCACTATTCCTCCCACTGACACCAATGACGGGGCACTATTCCTCCCACTGACACCAATGATGGGTCACTATTCCTCCCACTGATACCAATGATGGGGCACTATTCCTCCCACTGACACCAGTGATTGGGCACTATTCCTCCTCCTAATTCCAAAGCTGCAATGTTTACTGCCACTGTCGCAAGGACATTTTCTACTTCAAAATGGCCACAGTCTGGCCCCCCTGTTTGAGTATTCCTGTAGGCATACAACCCATTGTCACTTACTAGGAAGGTCAGGTAACATGTGTTGTATGCATAGTGTCAGGAATGGATTCACCACTGGTGGTGGGACTCACCTGCTGTGTGGGCTGCAGTACCAGGGCTGGCCAGCGGGTGCTCTCAGCAACCAGAAGCTCACTCCTGCAATCAGCCATCACCTGAGGCTGATTGCAGGAGGTGTATTTAAGGAATGGCCAGACCTGCAGTCAGTGCCTTGGTGTATTGTTTCCCATGAGCCCCTGTACCTGGTATCCTGTGGTCCTGCCTAGTTGCTGACCCTGCTTGATCCTGACTTTTGCTGACCGTCTCCTGTTTAAACCCCTGGCTTGCCTGACCATCCTTCTGCTTGATCCTCTGTACCGCACTGCCCGTGAGTTACTGAACCCGGCTTGTGACCCTGACAATTCTCTGCCTGCTCCTCCGGTACCTCGCTGCCCCGCACGTTGCTGACCTGGCCTGCCTGACTACGCCTGACGCTACCCAGACGATCCATCCATCCCGCACGGATCTGTCCCTGTTACCAGGTCTGCCAGCCTCTTCACGTCAGGCTCCTTTCCCCGCACACCTCTGACGACGCTCTCTACCATTGCCGGACGTACTCAGGGGTCGCGACCTGGTCTCAGTCTGCCCCAAGTCCATCCCCACCATCAGGGGCCCTGGTGAATAGCAGATTGGGACTTAGACCCTGCGCCCTGTACAGTACCTAACAGCCTGCTTGACCATTCCACCTCTCCAGCCCTGACTACGCCTGTATTCCCACACATTTCTGGTCATACCCGGATCCCTAACAGAACACCAAGGCCAGTCCTGACCAGAAGTGGCTGCACAGGGAAGCCATCTTGGCTTGTGAAGGATGCATCCTGAGGATGTTGTGTACTTGTCGCTGTTAGTCTTAGATGACAGTCGGATGCCTCTCCGACTCTGAAGGAGTATCCCCGGGATCAGCTGCTAGAATGAAGGAGTATCCCCGGGATCAGCTGCTAGAATGAAGGAGTATCCCCGGGATCAGCTGCTAGAATGAAGGAGTATCCCCGGGATCAGCTGCTAGAATGAAGGAGTATCCCCGGGATCAGCTGCTAGAATGAAGGAGTATCCCCGGGATCAGCTGCTAGAATGAAGGAGTATCCCCGGGATCAGCTGCTAGAATGAAGGAGTAAGCTCCCCGGGATCAGCTGCTAGAATCCTGCTAGAATGAAGGAGTATCCCCGGGATCAGCTGCTAGAATGAAGGAATCCCCGGGATCAGCTGCTAGAATGAAGGAGTATCCCCGGGATCAGATGCTAGAGATGCATACAAGTTGCTCATTCACACTAGTAGATCAGGGCACAGAGTTCTCTGAGGTGCAGCCATTGATCCAGGTTTGTGCTGAGTTGGCTCGGTCCTGTACCCCTGAAAGCAGGGATGACTTTTTTCCCCCATTTAGTGCAGATCAAGTGGAATCGCTGGTATGGTTGTTGGAGGAGGATCCAGATTGCTTCCATCAGCACTATGCAGCATGTCCATCACATGTGCTGAGGGAGTGTATAGACGCAGTGCAGTCATTGATCAGACAGGCTATGTGTAAGCTGAGTGTTGTTCAACCCATACTGCAGACAAGGACAGATTTGTTACCCCCAGCCTCAGTCAGCTTACAACAACCCCGTCCTGCTTCTAATCTATTCCTGCATCCCCACAGCACCCCCAGTTCCAGCCCAGTATACCCTCCAATCCCCACAGCACCTCCAGTTCCAGCCCAGTATACCCTCCAATCCCTACAGCACCTCCAGTTCCAGCCCAATATACCCTCCAATCCCCACAGCACCCCTAGTTCCAGCCCAGTATACCCTCCAATCCCCACAGCACCCCCAGTTCCAGCCCAGTATACCCTCCGATCCCCACAGCACCCCCAGTTCCAGCCCAGTATACCCTCCGATCCCCGCAGCACCCCTAGTTCCAACCCAGTATACCCTCCAATCCCCACAGCACCCCCAGTTCCAGCCCAGTATACCCTCCAATCCCCACAGCACCCCCAGTTCCAGCCCAGTATACCCTCCAATCCCCACAGCACCTCCAGTTCCAGCCCAGTATACCCTCCAATCCCCACAGCACCCCCTAGTTCCAACCCAGTATACCCTCCAATCCCCACAGCACCCCCAGTTCCAGCCCAGTATACCCTCCCCAATCCCCACCAGCCCAGCCCCCCCCCACAGCACCTCCAGTTCCAGCCCAGTATACCCTCCAATCCCCACAGCACCTCCAGTTCCAGCCCAGTATACCCTCCGATCCCCACAGCACCTCCAGTTCCAGCCCAGTATACCCTCCGATCCCCACAGCACCCCCAGTTCCAGCCCAGTATACCCTCCAATCCCCACAGCACCCCCAGTTCCAGCCCAGTATACCCTCCGATCCCCACAGCACCCTCCAGTTCCAGCCCAGTATACCCCTCCAATCCCCACAGCACCCCTAGTTCCAGCCCAGTATACCCTCCGATCCCCACAGCACCCCCAGTTCCAGCCCAGTATACCCTCCAATCCCCACAGCACCCCCAGTTCCAGCCCAGTATACCCTCCAATCCCCACAGCACCCCCAGTTCCAGCCCAGTATACCCTCCAATCCCCACAGCACCCCCTGTTCCAGCCCAGTATATACCCTCCAATCCCCGCAGCACCCCCAGTTCCAGCCCAGTATACCCTCCGATCCCCACAGCACCCCCAGTGACAGCCCAGTATACCCTCCAATCCCCACAGCACCCCCAGTGACAGCCCAGTATACCCTCCAATCCCCACAGCACCCCCAGTATACCCTCCAATCCCCACAGCACCCCCAGTTCCAGCCCAGTATACCCTCCGATCCCCACAGCACCCCCAGTTCCAGCCCAGTATACCCTCCGATTCCCACAGCACCCCCAGTTCCAGCCCAGTATACCCTCTGATCCCCACAGCACCCCCAGTTCCAGCCCAGTATACCCTACAATCCCCACAGCACCCCCAGTTCCAGCCCAGTATACCCTCCAATCCCCACAGCACCTCCAGTTCCAGCCCAGTATACCCTCCAATCCCCACAGCACCCCCAGTTCCAGCCCAGTATACCCTCCAATCCCCACAGCACCCCCCCAGTGACAGCCCAGTATACCCTCCAATCCCCACAGCACCCCCAGTGACAGCCCAGTATACCCAACTACCTACCACATATCAGTCCTCTGTTCCCACTCGCTGCACCTATCCTGCCTTTAACCCTGTAAAGAAGTCCTCTGTAGCAACTGCTCCCTCCTCTGTTCCATCCCCCAGCTCTTCTCTGTCTTCAGCTGCTGCATCCGTTTACAGACCTGCATTCACTTACAGTGCTCCAGTAACTAAAACCAAGAAGAAGCGAAAATTCTTCCCAACCAGTACAATCCTACCAGTATCCAAACCGGTCAGCCTGCTGTCTGAGAACCCGCCTTCTGTTATCCAGCCTGGTGCCCCGGTGCCCGCTGTTCAGCCGGATGCCCGGATGCCTGATGACCCAGTGTACGCTACCCAGCCTGATGATCCTACCCAGCCTGATGATCCTACCCGGCCTGATGACCCGATCCACCCTGATGACCCGATCCACCCTGATGACCCGATCCACCCTTATGATCCGATCCAGCCTGATGACCCGGTGTTCGTGATCCAGCCTGATGACCCGATCCAGCCTGATGACCTGATCCAGCCTGATGATCCAATCCAGCCTGATGACCCGGTGTTCGTGATCCAGCCTGATGACCTAATCCAGCCTGATGACCCGATCCACCCTGATGACCCGATCCAGCCTGATGACCCAATCCAGCCTGATGACCCGATCTGGCCTGATGATCCTACCCAGCCTGATGATCTTATCCAGCCAGATGACTCGGTGCCCTCTGTCGAGCCAGATGACTCAGTGCCCGCTGTCGAGCTTGGTGACTCAGTGCCCGCTGTCAAGCCAGATGACTCGGTGCCCGCTGTCAAGCCAGATGACTCGGTGCCCGCTGTCGAGCCAGATGACTCGGTGCCTGCTGTCGAGCTTGGTGACTCGGTGCCCGCTGTCGTGCCAGACGACTCTGTGCCTGCTGCCCAGTCTGACGTGCCTCTGTCCGCTGCCCAGTCTGACGTGCCTCTGTCCGCTGCCCAGCCTGACGTGCCTCTGTCCGCTGCCCAGCCTGACGTGCCTCTGTCCGCTGCCCAGCCTGACGTGCCTCTGTCCGCTGCCCAGCCTGACGTGCCTCTGTCCGCTGCCCAGCCTGACGTGCCTCTGTCCGCTGCCCAGCCTGACGTGCCTCTGTCTGCTGCCCAGCCTGACGTGCCTCTGTCCGCTGCCCAGCCTGACGTGCTTCTGTCCGCTGCCCAGCCTGACATCCTCCGCTCGCTGCCCAGCCTGACGTGCAAGCCCCTGATGTCCAGCTAAACTGGCCAATAACTGGTTCCCAGCCTGCTCCTGGAGATCCTGTGTCCAGTAACCTGCCTTCCTGGGTTCTCCTACACAAAGAGAAGTCTACCAGCAGGAAACCCAGCCAGCTGGTTGACTCCGGCAGTAGGATATTCAGCCAGTTACCTGACCCGGGCAGTGGAACATATTGCTCACTAAGGACTGTTTGGAGTGTCCTGAGGCCGCTTCTTGAGGGGGGTACTGTCAGGAATGGATTCACCACTGGTGGTGGGACTCACCTGCTGTGTGGGCTGCAGTACCAGGGCTGGCCAGCGGGTGCTCTCAGCAACCAGAAGCTCACTCCTGCAATCAGCCATCACCTGAGGCTGATTGCAGGAGGTGTATTTAAGGAATGGCCAGACCTGCAGTCAGTGCCTTGGTGTATTGTTTCCCATGAGCCCCTGTACCTGGTATCCTGTGTTCCTGCCTAGTTGCTGACCCTGCTTGATCCTGACCTTTGCTGACCATCTCCTGTTTAACCCCCTGGCTTGCCTGACCACCCTTCTGCTTGATCCTCTGTACCGTGCTGCCCGTGAGTTACTGAACCCGGCTTGTGACCCTGACAATTCTCTGCCTGCTCCTCCGGTACCGGTACCTCGCTGCCCGCACATTGCTGACCTGGCCTGCCTGACTACGCCTGACGCTACCCAGACGATCCATCCATCCATCCTGCATGGATCTGTCTCTGTTACCAGGTCTGCCAGCCTCTTCACGTCAGGCTCCTTTCCCCGCACACCTCTGACGATGCTCTTTACCATTGCCGGACGTACTCAGGGGTTGCGACCTGGTGTCAGTCTGCCCCAAGTCCATCCCCACCATCAGGGGCCCTGGTGAATAGCAGATTGGGACTTAGACCCCGCGCCCTGTACAGTACCTAATGGCCTGCCTGACCATTCCACCTCTCCAGCCCTGACTACACCTGTATTCCCACACATTTCTGGTCATACCCGGATCCCTAACACATAGCTTCTGTACTCTCTATGTATTGTATGTTTTTCCTACACTTGTAATTAGTTAGTATGTATAGCATTCTTGATTCGTAAAGCACCTTCATGTACTACAGAGGGTTCTGCTTCTGTTCCCTACTGCAGAGATACATTAAAGAGACAATAGAGAAAGGAAGGGATATAATACACAAAGTGCCAACATCCCTAACGAATACAAGGGGAGGAGTCCTCTTTTTTGGTGGGACTTTAACAGCACAATTTACTTATATGGGGAATTTCAACAATTCAAAGATTTTTTTATAAAAAGATATGAAATTTTATTTTTACACTCTTCAAAAACAAACATAAAGCTACAATCCATACTGCGGCGGTGTCATCGGAGATGGTATTGCAATGCTAATCATGGATCATGCATGGGTCGCACTTGACGCGTTTCGAGATCAAGAAGGCATGACGCATGATTTCATGTCAGGTAAAAAGCGCCAAGAAATTTAAGAACACATGTAACGGAACCGTCCCAGCCTGTGCTGAGTACTTCTGTTATAATACCGCTTCCTCGTCCGAACACCGACCACAGACACCACAGATTTGAAGTAAACCAGGAAATAGACTACTTTATTTTAACACAGAGACAAGATATATACATTCAAGGGAACAACCTCCCCCCCCTGCATAATGACACAGGACGAGGCAATCTACCTTTAGTAACAAGAGACACACCAACAGACAGTCCCATCAGGAGGGAGGGCTGCTGGAAACACCCCCCACTAAGACAATACACAAACACATCCATCCCATAATAGTTTGCTCCCAAGCAAGACACACAATAGAACAATGGGATGCACCACATGGCATTAAACAATCCACAACCCCCCCACCCCAATATTAGGACAGATAACCCTGTACCCAGGGGCAGACTGACCATTTGGAAACTCGGGCACTGCCCGAGGGCCCGGGGGTCAGTAGGGGGCCCCATGAGATGCCCCTGGTACCTTTTTCATAGGCTTTTTTGAGTTTAGGCAAGGACACAGGGCCCCTATGATCCCCTATTGCCCGGGGGCCCCATGAATTGTCAGTCCGCCCCTGCTTGTACCCCTAACAGGCACAGGGTGACATAAGAGGGATATGGGGAGCTGAGACAGGGGTCTCCCCACCTCTCCAAAGTGAGCTGTGTTCCATGAGCCCCCCACCCAAAGTGACTCCCGTCACAACGCATTGTTATATGAACTCAGCCACGGATTTCACATATATCGCAGGCAAAAAATGATGAAACAAAAATTAATAAAGAAAAAACTAAGACCAGTGGATGATAAAATGCCGCCCAAATGCATCCTGAAGGGGCCCCTCCCAAATGCACCGTCAACAAGATTACCTGCTGGTTGGTTCTGATAGGACAGTGCTGCAATGTAAATAATAAAAAGCAATATTAATATCAATTGGATATAAAACCCTTTTTCAGTTTAAGAACTAGCGGCATGTACCTGATGGGAGACTGAAATGATGAGGTCGGCCTCACTTGTGTCACTAGCCCTGACCCCCGCTGGAGTTGGAACACAGGGAGTTTAGGACCCAGGGGAACAAGAGTGCCAGTAGTTGTTGTTTGCAGCTCTTGCAGATGATGACCTTGGAAGGCTGATGATCCTCTGATCTTGGCACAGTAGTAGTAGGCAGAGCAGGTTTTGTAGATTGCCAGGGGTGCACCAGAGCAAGGCAGGTAGTGAGGACAAGAGACAGGAGCAGTGTCATAGGAATAGCCGGGGTCATCAACAGTCGGGCAGCACGGTCAAGATTCAGAAGGAAAAGCCAAGGTCAGGAGCAGAGCCGAAGTCAGGAACAGGTATCAGGAGAGCAATCAGAGTCAGGTGAGGAGCAAGCCGGGTCAGCAACAAAGGAATCACTCAGGAACAAGCAGGACACGGGGGAGCTGAAGACCAGTCAGCACTGAACATGAGCAGAGACACACCTTAAATAGGCCGTCTGGCGCCAATCTTCGGCGTGCGTGTGCGCGATCGCGCATTCCTGCGTGCATGCGTGAAAAATGATGAAACAAAAATGAATAAAGAAAAAACTAAGACCAGTGGATGATAAATGCTCACAGTCATCAAGCGTGCCTCGTCGGATAGACCTGGTATATTGCCCCATATTGGGCTGTCTTTCACATCTCAATCCTGATTATTATTAGGTCATCAACATTTTCTCACGCAAAGTCTTCCGGCAAGAAGAATCGCGATCGGAAATGTGCATAGGAATTCCCGGATAGGAATTCTTCTCCGAATAGGATTCTTCTTGCCGGAAATCCCTTACAACTAGACGCACCTACTATGAGTGCGAAGCGATGACCACAAGGACTTGAAAATGTTGATGACCTGATAAAAATCAGGATTGAGATGTGAAAGACATCCCAATATGGGGCAATATACCAGGTCTATCCGACGCTTGATGGCTGTGAGCATTCATCATCCACTGGTCTTAGTTTTTTTCTTTATTCATTTTTGTTTCATCATTTTTCACCTGAGATATATGAGAAATCCACGGCTGTGTTTCACATAACTATGTGTTCCTAAATTTCTTGGTGGTTTTTACCTCACATGGAATCGTACGTCATGCCTTCTTGAGCACCTCTGGAGGAAGAGATTTTTGTTGATCTCGAAACGCGTCAAGTGTGACCCGTGCATGATCCACGATTATCATTGCAATACCACCTCTGATGACACCACCGCAGTATGGATTGTAGCTTTATGTTTATTTTTGAAGATTGCACTATATAAAGTAAATTGTGAATATGCCACTAAAGTCTCACCAAAAAAAAAGGACTCCCCCCCCCCCCCCCTTGTATTAAAGAGACGATCAACACTAGAAGTGGCTAGGTGAGCTACTAAAACGTATTTATGCTTTTTTGAGTAGAAGACTAAATGTGCATCACTACGAGGGACGAGTGAAAAGCTCTTTGCCTACCCATGAAGCATTTGTCTTCGCCCAATTTTATTTTTGCTCCTCATAGTACTTATCTGTGCGAGGTTCCATACCAAATGCTTCATATTGAAAATTTTCTCTGTCTGCAGATTATTGGCCTTATCGGGATTCTACTGATTATCATTGTGGTCGTATTCCTCGAATCAAAGATCTATTCCTGTCTCTCATTATACGGGTTCAATTGTGGATCAGAATCAGAATCAGAGAGGTGTAGGAGGATGAATGAAGACAATTTGCTGCAGATCACTGAGGACCTCTTACAGGAACAAGCCAGACAGAGGCAGAAGGAGTTTGTAGTGACTCTGCTTAGCAGAGAAGAGTGGACTTCTTATGACCCGAGATCACCCAACGCCCTGCAGGAACTGGGAAATATCACAGCCAAATGGAAAGAAGAAGTAAAGAGACAATTGGAAAGTGCAGGGCTTGGCCGGGCTGAGTCAGAAGGGGCACCTACCTTGTCTGCTGTGCCGCGAGAGGGACAGCCGAGGAAGGTGCCTCTGCTGCCTCCTCATCGTCCAGCTGTGTCCTCAAACCTCAAACCAGAACCTGAGATCCTGCAGATGACATGCCTAAGTGAACCAAAATTAAAGCCAAATGATGGTCTCAAGAGTCCAATTTGAGTCTATTAGACCCCAGATCTCTCCTCTGGCCTCCGAAGCATCTGATGAAACTGAGATTAGTTTGATCAGATGCTTTCACATGACGGCAATGGCTTGTTTGCATCAGACCAAAACCCAGAAGAGACTAATCCTTGTTGCGTCCAGTTTCTTAGATTGTAGAGCAGAGGCGTCCCTAAGGTTGGTGTCACCCGGTGTGGTAAGACTTGGTGACACCCCCTCCGACGATT